CCAAGGAAGGCTAGCTCATCTTCTGAGATAGTTTTAGTAAGAACAATGCTGGAAGAGTACAATAGATTATTTAGACACCAAACTGATGCTATCAATGATTTTTCATTACTCTATGCTCTACACACCTCTTTTGGAACCAGTGCTGACCACACAGCTTAGTATAATTGAGAGGCTGAGCTCCATTCCTATTTGATATTTTCCCTACTGTTTCAATGATAATATTCACATACAATAGGAAGAGATAATAACACAAAATATATATTACTCTCAAAACCATATTTTGCTGTCTAAATCCATTGTACTCTTTTGATAATTAGTTAGCTAATTATTAAAACAATATCTAAAAATAATCAACTTCCACAAAAATTGGCAGGCCAAATTCAGTTCCCATTCATCCCCAGACAGCACCAGTGCATTGTAGTTTATGAGGGAGGATTATAGAAAACAGTGTCAAATTATTACTTTTCAATAGTGGATAATTCATGTGTGGGCTGTAGGAAACAGCCTAATGGCTTTACTTGCAGACAGCCATTGCACTCTTTACCCACTCTTTATCTTGTTCTTTACTTGCCAGATTCAAGCACAGCATGTGCTGTAGGAGGACCTGAGTATCCTTGCAAGACCTCTTTCATCTCTCATTGCAGATAGGATCTGGCAAAGAAGGAGTACCACATTATTTTAACACAAAGACAACTGTCACATTATTTCCCCAGTGGCCAATCACCCTGCAGGGGACAACTTCATCTATATTGTACCTGCTTAACATACTTCATTAACTCTGTCAATTACCAGCTACCTCAGCACCTTTTCTGTTGGCATTACACAATTTATTCTTTCCATGTTCCAAACAGTACCACGGCTCCTACAGCTTCATAATCCATGTAAAGAGATATTAATCTTAGAAATGTGTATTAGAACAATTAAAATAGATTTTCAAGATGGTTTATGGCTTGTTTTTTGATGGTGTTCAGCACCTACTACTATTTTTGAATTTTAAATATAAGAGCGAGTTCCCTCTAAAAAGCAGACGTATCTTTTAGAGGGGACTATATTTTTCATTGACAGTGACTTTTCATAGAAGTTCTCACTGCCAAGTATAGCAGCAAACTTTTCTAGTTTAACATACTCTTTCAAGATAAACTTTAAAGGCAAATAAATTGAGACTTGACTTTAGTCACCTCATTGAGGCTTGCTAGGCTAGGAGCTAAGGAGCATATTTACCCTGGGCTCTTTCTGCATGCATTGGAGACAGGCTTGCCATTCCAAATAGAAATTCAGCCCACCTAAGCCAAACTATGCTCACTGACTTGTGTGAGACTGCTCCTCACCACAGGCCTTAGCTAAGTGGTTTTTCATTAAATGTGTCACTTAGAATATCCTTGTGAGAAGCAGGACTTTTGATTCAAGAGTCAGATAGAGACAGTTCAAGAGGCTGGAGTTTCAGGTGGCTGCAATGGCCATCAGAAAGGTGGGGTTGGATGAAGAGCTAAAATCTGGGGATGGGAGTAAGGTGACATTGAGTCTCTAAACACAGGAACAGGTATGGAACTTGAAGAAAGGGGCTTGAGAGTTACAGGGCAGAAAAGCTGCGGGAGGCTCCACAGACAGAAGGCATAAAACTAGAAAGGGCATTTGTTTGAGCTAGCACTCAGTGTATGCAATTGTCTACTTGAACATTAAGCTCTGCTTATGCTAATCAGCTTCAGTGCATGAGCCCAGATCGCCAGAGAAAGGAGCTGGGGGGGCAGTGTTGGGTACAAAAGGGTGACACTCACAACTGCGCAATTCCACAATTCCCCAACACTGCTGTGGGGCAAGAACAGAAACACAGGCCTGCTCCCCACTGCCCTCCCTCACCCTCTTCTCTTTCTCTCTCTTTTTTTTTTCTCCTCTATCTGGAGTATGACAGGTTTCTTCAAAGGGCACTTTTGAAACTAGAGAAAACCTGTATTTTCACAGAAAAAAATCAAACAGTAAATGACCTAATGCCTGCTACAAAGACATCTGATTAAATCAAATTCAACATACAGTTTAGAACAGACTAGCATCAAACGTTCTGAAAGGGAACAGATGAACCAAGAAAATTGAAAGTCAATGGAAATCCTAAATACCGCCTGATTACATGGAGTTTTCCCAGTCGCTTTTCAAAAGGAGCAAGGGACATCTGATCGCTCAGCTCCTGCTCTAATTAGGTTGAGAGGCAAATCCTTCAGAAAAGGGAAGTATGGCTTGAGGTTACCCATTGCAATTGTGGAGTCTGTTGTGAAGTTGACAGTTTCTGCATGATTCAGCTTTCCAAATGAGTATTTCTTCCAACTGAATATTTTTTGTTGCTTCTCCTTTTCTCTTCATGTTTTCTTTTTTTTTTTTTCTACCTGAATCAGTATGCTTCCTCCAGTGGTAGCTGCTGCATACTTCTGCAGGTATTGATCACAGTAGTGTCTCTGATTGTCTGGAGAGAAAATGACATTACTTGTCATCTTTTCTCATGCTACAGAATTGTAAAATACGAGGTTTCAGTACATCAATTAGCTTCAAAATACTATAATTGCATATTAAGAAGTAGCAGATACCTATTGCCATATGCTACATTTATACCTTCAGTACCCTTCAAGACACCTCTGGGGGCATTACAGCATTACAAGTACATTTAGAATGTGTGTATAGCCTAAATATGTAAAGAAGAAGGGTTTCCATAGTGAGGGTTGTATCTGCAACTAATGAACTCTTTTTTTAACACTTCCTTACTTAATACTGTTCTCTGGGCTAAGAATCCTTTTAATATAGGTAGGAAAACCAGTCAAAGTGAATTCTTTAATTGCAGTAAAAATAAAACCTTGTGATTCTGTGATGTGCCCATAACTTGAATTTTCGAATTAATGCAGGAAGGGTTTAGGGAGTTGCAATACGCCAAACTACTTCCACTTCTGTAAAAGCTGTTTGTTCACAGGCAGGTGTAGTACCTTTTTTTTTTTCCTTTCTTTTTTTTCCTCCCCTTAAATAAAACCAGGTGTAGTACCTTTTTTTTTCCTTTCTTTTTTTTTCCTCCCCTTAAATAAAAATGAACACTGTGCAAACACCAGCTGACTCCTTTTTAATCTGTCAGCACATTCTTTACATCTGTGCATAAACATTATTATCACAAACTCAGAGTGTTACTGCAAAAATTATCAGAGTCCTCAAAATGTACTCTCTGCAGTCTCCATTGGAATACAACTTTAATGCGTTAATGTGAGAACAAGCAAGCTCTAGGAGAAAAAAAGAAAGGCTTTTCATTTTCACAGAAAGTTAGCCAGGGTTTCCTTCACTAACGTGTATGCACAGGGTAAATATTTTGTACTTAGTACAGTATTTTCTTCTGACATACGGTTGGCCTCAATAATGTTTCCTATTGTGTTCACTTAAAATATTAACCATTGATGAAAAGACATGGTCTGAGGGAGAATGATACAAGACATGGCATGTTTTCAGAGATTTTTAAAGATTATCTTCTAGAATGGAATCTCTAGCTAGGTATTAGTGTGTCTGTCTGTATGTAGGAAAAAAACACGGTCATATTTTTCAGGTTTATAGGGATGACCTTTTATGTTATAGTACAATGCTTTGAAGCACAGTTATTTTAATTGCTTTATATGCCTATTGAGACCATTCTGCATGTCACTTTTTTATATATAGTACCAAGTCACATATGTTTGGTCAATGAATCTTTTGCTGCCTTGATATTTATGTTAAACTCTGAGCAGGAGTTTTAGAAACGCATTCTGGGTTTTGCTGTTGATGGTTTTTTGTTGTTTAGGTTTTTTACTGTCACTCCAGCTAGATACCTAATGAGGTGACAGGAAGAATTAAAAATGATAGATTGTTTTGGCTGCAGTGGGGCTGTCTGAGCTGTATTTTCCTGTAACACAGCTCAATAAACCCAGGTTGTGGAAAACCCTCTGCTTGTGATTCATTGCTGCAGCAGGGGTCTGGGTGGAGGTTTAAGGAAGAGCAGTGGCTGGGCTGGGCCACACGGATGGGGTGCACCGACGGCTCTGGGGATGCACAGGGCAGCTCCAGCCACCAAGCGCTGCTCCCAAAAACAGCTAATTAGAACTTGTGAGGGTTGGCTATGGCACGTTTCTTTCTCTCCAAACACTCTGCAATGCTATAGCTGTCAGTCCATAATGCTTCCCAAGTGGGGCGGCACCTTCTGCAGAGGCCCCTCTGAGCTGGGAGCGCTGGGAAGGCGACGGTGGAAAAGTGCCATTGTGGGGATGCGGGGCAGCCCCCGTGTCCGTGCCAGTAAACACCTCAGCATCCACGTGCCATTCAGCTGCTGTGCTCCTGGAGGAAGAATAAAGGGTATCAGAAGAGATTCCTAGGACTGAATGGTTAACCATAGGTGTTAGACCGATAGCTGGTGTAATTAAGAAGAAAGATCTGTCATTTCCCAGACTGGGCAGAATAAATTCCAGATATCCGCACATAATCTTTCAAAGTGCCTCTATCTCCAGAGCAAAGAAGGGTGATCACAGAATACCCTGAACCCAATTATGTACTTTCTGATTATCATATTTTTATTTCTCAAGACACAGGGCTAATAAGAAAGATCAAAAAAATGTTTGAACCAGAGTAATTTCAAATGTCAAGAACTAGTTATTCTTACAACAAGCTCCCAGGTCTCGGCAATGTAAGCTGTTGTCTGTTTGGTTTGATTCCTCTTGGGGAGTGGAAATGAGGGACTAGGAGATTTAAAGTGACTTTGTACTGCGGAATCAACACATGCTTTCAAGACCTGCATTTGGTTTTGAGGTGGTTTGTTTCTTCTTATTTTATTTTATTTTGTTTCATTTTATTTTATTTTGTTTTTGGAGTTGGGGCTGGTGGCATGGTGTTAATTTGATTATTTTCTTTCTTTCTTTCTTTCTTTCTTTCTTTCTTTCTTTCTTTCTTTCTTTCTTTCTTTCTTTCTTTCTTTCTTTCTTTCTTTCTTTCTTTTTTAAAATGTCATTTCCCAGAGAGAAAACTGCAGAGGAATTTCAGGGAGTTTCTGTTCAGTTCTTTGGATCAGAATAACCCAATCAGGTAGGAGTCAGCAAGAAGAATGAATCCAAAATAAAAAATCCACATTAGAAATACACTTTAGAAAGAAAAGGAATGTTGCCAATAAAATGGGCAATAAAAAGGGAAGGGCAAAGAAGTGGATTCCTCTGCAGCAGAAAATAAAACAAATTTCTGCTTTCCAAATGATTATTTGAAAAATTATTCAGAAGGTACCTGACTTTATCCTTCTCACAGTTCCTCATATTCAAGGAGCAGTGAACATGTGGATGTTAAGGAAAACCTTGTGGTTCCCCATGGATGATATTCTGCATGTATAATTTCCTACAGGGGAGAAAACAGCTTCAGCCTGTAGGTCTCTGGTTTTTGACAACAAGACATAAAGGCAGCTGTTGTGGCCTGCTTTCTTGAGATGCTGAGCAGCCGTAAATTCAGGTGAAGTCGGGGAAGCCGTACGTACCAACCCTGTGTTTGCAGAGACAGAGCTGGCTTGGTTCTTCATTCTCCAACTGGCTCACCAAGAGAACTGCCACAGAGGTGCCAAGTGTTCCACCCTCCCAGCCAGGGCTAAAGTGCTGTCTGTATCAGACAGAGGATGAGGATAATTAGCAGTAACAGCTCCATAATGAGAATGGCAGCTTTGCTCCAATCAGGGCATGGGTGAAAAAGAGTAAGTGAGAAAAATTTAATTTGAGGCTTATCCCTAGGCTGGCAATTGAATTCAATAGTCTCAGACAAACTAGCCAATTCTGGAAAGTAAATCCGAAGATGGAAAAATACTGCAAGTAATCATGCAAAGTAGAATTCTGAGTGTAGCTTCAAGAGAACAAAACAAAACTGTTTTCACTGAGATCAATCATGTTAGTTTCTGTCCTTTTTTTTGTCCTAATTATCAGTGCCAAGCAGGAATCACAGATTAGACACTATTGAAGCTATTTTTAAGTTTAGCTTATTGAAACCTGTTCTTTGCAATGAATCTTCTCAGAACAAACTCAGCTTTTAGATTCTCTGCTATACTGCTCACAGGATCCTGAAAGGAAAGGAGCAGATGCGGATAATGCCTCCCGAGACCAAGATCATTGCAAGGAGTTCAGAGACTCACATGCACACATTAAATTAGGAATTTGAAGGTGGGGTGGAGGGGATCTATTTCTTGATTATGCAAAAAATTTGCTACTCAGGTTTTTTTTTCCCAAAACTCTTTGGATTTGGGAGCCCTTTTCTCATTGTGAGGGGATGACAGGCTAAAGACTCCTTTTGCTCTAATGTCATTTAAATCTGGGTATGGTTTTAGGAAATTACATGCCTGGGCATTTAGATTAAAATTTCATCCAGAAAATGTTGTATCAGGGTGAGGAGGGATTTTGGACCATGCCTCCTGGCAAGGTGGCAAGTCAGGTAAAATTTCTTATGACAGCTGGCCATGGTCTGTCTGTCAGGCAGTTTGTGTGGGAGGGAGGAGAAGGACCAGGAAAAGAGGAACACATATTTTGAAGGTTATTTGTTTTAATATCAATTTAATCTACTCTAGGTTTAAGAAGAAGAGCTTGGGAAAATAAAGGTAAACTAGACCTGATTCAAAATATAAAGGAAGCATACCAAATTGCAAAGTGATACAAAATGGGATACAAGAAAGGCAGATAGAAAAAAAAATCTGAATTACCAGACATGTTATAGGCTTCTAAGCCATTCAATGTGTGTAAATGTATTTAATCTCTTCATGTCCATAAAATGCCCACATTTTGCAAAAATACATTTTAAAGAAGCTACAGTACACTAAATGCTGACCTTCATTTGTGGCTGTGCTCTGAGAGACTAATTCCTTGTCTCTGTTAGTTGTTATGACAGACAAATAAAAGTGGATCTGTGGAGTGAACCAGTGTGCATTAAAGACCCATTGGCAGCATTATACACATTTCAGTCAGATCTGCCTGGAAAAGTTGTAGTCCAGCCCTGTGGGGTGAATGGCCATTCCCAGGTGGAGTGCACAATGTGTTCTTCCAGGGTATATCTCCCTCTTTACCTTCTTATGAATAAAGCTGGCTTGAGTGATCCAGATCCACTGAATGTTGTAAACCAGTGAGACACAGTAAATGGGAATGGCAAGACTCACATGAGTCACATGAGCCAATGTAGACTTTCTACAAGAAGTTAAATAAACACCTGTATCCTTTCCAGGGTACAGCTTGTATAGCTCTCAGTAAACCCCAAATTCTATGGTTTTGTACAAAGCTACTTCATGTCACATCTTGACACTTATTCAAGATCTACATTATGCTTGTGTGCATAGGTTCCAAAAGGTTAGTGTATTATTAACGAGATAGTGGAAATGTTCTAGAATCAGCTTTCATCTAAATGAAGGTGATGATGTTTATCTGTAACCTTTGAATTCATTGTTGTCTTGAGTGCACAGTGTTTTCTGCTGGTATCTGTGTTATTCACTTGCTGACTAATCTCTTCACCTGATCAGTATTGATTGTAACTCTCAATCTATAACCTTTAGGCACAGTGACATTATGGTTAAATGAAACACAAATGCAGAAATAATTAACAACGACTGATGCTGGCATTTCCTTTCTGGCAAATAGTTTCAGCAAAAATTATATTTGACAACTAGAAGCAGTATTTTTAGAGAAAAGCATAAATAGAAGATGAATATACAATTTTTAGTTCCTTAATATAGATTACTTAAGAAGAAATAGTAAGTTACCTTGCGGAAATCAACAGCTTCTTCAATTGGATTGCTTCTGTCACTGCATGGACACAGTCTTGTTTGATGTCCTCCTACCATTTGTCTTGCATGGAGTCTTTTATCTAAATCCAAAGCAATGCAGTCGTCACTGCTGCAATTCAATAATGGCTCCGCAGGAGCTGTCATCCCCAGTTTGCTATTCATCTTATAAAGCCTTTGAGTTTTCAAAGTGTCCACTAAAGTTGGTATTTCAATGCTGTGGACAGATCACTTAAGGTTCTTTTGTATTTTCAAAACAGGTTTAAAGTGAGGATGGACAGATATTGAAATGCCCAACTTATTGTACCTAGGTGCCAAAGGAGATGATGGAAATGTCAAAAGGTAATTGAATAATCACACCCACCTCCCAGCTGAAAATGTGTGACTTTGTGAGCTTGAATGACACTTTGACTCAATACTGGCATTGCCTGTGGGGAATGAGCCCCTTGGAACAAAGAGGAAAAAAGACAAAGATGGCAAAAAAAAATTTGAATTAGCCACTAGCAGCCCCAGGAAGTGAAAAATTATTAACAACGTGAAGTATAAGGCAAGAGAGAACTTATTTAATTTCTACTCAAGTATAAGATGCCCTTTATTCTATTTGATATAGACTTAGAAAACAGGGGTCATTTTGGACTTGAAAGCTAGTGTCTGAAGAAACTCACATTTATCATTATTCAAGACCCTGGATGTAGGCAGCTGGATTAAGAGCACTCTTCTGAGGTTTAGGTGGGAATTTGGGCAATTTCTTGCAGGTGCCATTTTACCCAGACCAGTCTGAACATGTATTTTAGCTGTTAGCCTTTTTGCTTGTCTGTTTGTTTGTTTGTTTGTTTGTTTGTTTGAAGCAAAAGCATAACCATCTTTGGGCAGTAATCTGAAATAATTTAATACAGAAAAAGAGATTGAGTGTATATTTTGAGAGTGAGAGTCAGCATGGGTAAGAAAGCAGTATTCTCACCTGGGCTCAAGTTTAGCTAGAATGCTAAATTTATATATAGTCTTTTCTTACCAGAAATACCAGCTTACTCAGTTTACTGTACAGAGATTGGAGTTTTACCTGAAGAAAATAGTCTCTGTGGGAATAACTCACACTGAAAGTATTGAAGGAAAAAAAGCTTCCACTGTCAGAACCAATGCTATTTTCATAGGCACCAATTCCATCGGTATTTAAAAGCAAAGAAAAATATTTCACTTAAGATTTCCTAAATGCAACCCTATGAATTTATAAGATTGCCTTAATTTCAGGGTGATTTGGCACAACTACAGTATGTTGTCCCCTGTAGCCTTTCTGGGGACAAGTGACATAAATTGCTTACTGTGTGGTTTCCCTGAATACTGCTACGTTCAGTGGTCTGCAAGAGCATTGGAAAATGGCCACACAGAAGAGTCTGCCTTGTCCCTATCCTCTGGGACAGGAGAGGTGCAGATGAATGATTTGGAGGCAGTGTCTGAGCCACTGACCAGTTCTGACCTTGACAGTCCTGTGCTGCCAGGGAAATCTGCAGGCTTGTGCCAGAGTCCTCTATTGATCTGCAGAGGTCCTGGGAGGCTCTGTAGATGCAGCTCAGAGTGGGGAGGATTTCTTAACACAATCGAAATACAGCCTTGCTCTGCCTCTGTCTTTTGCTGTCTCCCTTCCCCGAGCTAAATCGTACCAATTTCCCTGCCCGGAGCTCAGTGCAGCGGCAGGGCCGTGACTCACCTGGTAGTTTCTGAGACAGCCAGGCATTCCCCTCTAAATCTCTTCATCCCCTTCAGCCTATTTTTAAATGCTTGGCTGATATTCTTAAGTGCTGGTATTGAACAAAATGTAAATATAGTGCAACCTCTGATTTTAACCTTGGCCTCGATCCACTTTTATTCTAGTTAAATGTAATAAACAACAAATGTAACATAAAGATGTATATTATTTTTTTGTAAAAATATGTTTATAATTCTTTAAAATACATGAGTCAGCTAAGCATTTAAAAGTAAAATATAGATATAAAATTATTCAGACAGGGTGATATAATATAGAATTTAAATTGAGCATATTTTAGCAGCACTGGGAAACCTTACCCCAGAGCTAATAATGTAATAGATCTATCTCACCAACATCTTGGAACTTGCAACACAGTTTTATCCACAAAGGAGAGTTCTCTGGCCTACTTTATTAAATACCTTAGAGGACTTTGCCTGTAAGATTACATATGAACAATGCAATTTATTAAAATTCCTGCTCTTATTTTTCCTGTTGAAATTTTAGCCAATTTCTAAAAAAAAACAACAAACCAAAATGAAACACAAAACAGAACAAAACACAAAGTATAAACAAATCCAACAGGCTAAGTAAACATAATTCAACAAATGTTTCATCAAACAGGTATACAGGGAAAACAACCTGCAGTTTATTTTTTGCCACCACTTATAAACTCATATTGTGTCTGTCTTTTGCTGTGCTGCATTGGGCTAGTTGTCTTCCTGATCAGTATTTTTTCAAATCTGAAGAGGAACTGTGGATATAGTTGAGAAGATACCTGTTAAAGATAGTCCTAATAAATAAAAATGAGTCAAATTGAAACACTCTTGCTATTTCTTACAAATGGGAAGCAATCAACTTTTTTTAAACAAATATTTATGTGCCAAATGAAATACAAGTAATTGCAAAAGGATACAGACAAAGGTTTAAGCTACATCATTTTATAATTTACTTGGGATGGACATGGGTATTTTGGTGACTCTTACTTAGAAATGGCTTACATTAACACACCACTGTTGCATGTGTAAGTATTTAAATCTATTCACTAAATAGGATCTTACTTCAAGTCAGAGAACTCAATATAGTGACACTAATTTATATGTATATCTGAGGTTTCTGCTAAGATTCAGTTATACATTCTAGCATTTACCTTGGAGTTTTTATGTAATTCTGTTTGATCTGAGAATTTAAGATCATTCCACTTAGTGGAAGATGCTAGATATTCAACAATAATAATTACTATTTTAAAATTAGGGCATTTATGTAAGTAGTAGATTGCAGAGCTGGCAATAAATGCTAGGCAGCCATTTTTGCAAAGTGTTATAAAGAAAATCCCTAAATCACTTGATTTCCCTTCTCTGGTGCTGCCTACCTGCCGAGATCATAAAAGGAAAATTTACACACAGGAAGAACATAGAATTCTACCCTGGAGAACAAAAGAGGGAAATTCATAAAACTCACTAGTAAATGCCAAAATCCAAATGCAGACAACTAAATATCTAATTAACCTGTAACTCCTTCCCTGTATGGATATATGTGCTGATATGATAAAGGACTCTACCATGAAAAAGAAATGAAACAGATGAAATTTGCATGAGTCTATTGTCATAGGCAATCCAATTTAGAAAGAGAGAGGAAGGTATTTGACCTGACATTAATAACATTAATTTACCAGCAGCTGATGGGAAAGAAAAAACCAAAGTAAAATAATCTATGGCCTCAAGACATGAAGAAATGACTAAAGGTAAGGGTTTGTATTTGTGTGCATGTGTGTAAGCAGTTTATTCAGGGAGAGGGGGTTAATTATAAAGGAAATCAGTCAAAAAGTGAGTGTGGCTTAGAAGGTCACATAAATGCCTATACCAAGGAAAGCCACAAAAGAATACTTAACTTGCAAATAATGAAAAAATGCTGGAATTCCTTGTACATGTTGGAATCATGCACTCGTGGAATCATTTAGGTTGGGGATGAAGTCTGAGATCATGGAGGCCTACCATTAAATCAGCACTAAGTTCACCACTAAGCTGCGTCCCTGAGCTCCATATTTGCACATCTTTTAAATATCCCAGGGACAGTGACTCCCCAACTTCCCTAGGCAGCCTGTTCCAATGCTTGATAACCCTATCAGTGATGAAAATTTTCATAATATCTGATTTAAACCTCCCCCGGTGCAACCTAGACCATTTCACCTTGTCTTATTGCTTGTTACTTGGGAGAAGAGACCCTCACCTCACTACCTCTTTTCAGAGAGTTGTAGAGAGGGATAAGGTCCCCCATGAGCCTCCTTTTCTCCAGGCTAAACAACCCCAGCTCCGTTGCTCCTCAAAAGACTTGTGTTCCAGATTCTTTACTAGGACCATTGTCCTTCTTTGAACACAGTCTATAATCTAGATGATAAATATAATTTTATAGAATGTAAGATTACAAAATATTATAGACAAATAACATAAAATGAGAAACTATTGGGAGGGAGGCAAGTAAAGACAAAATATAAGGTCTTTTTTACTCTGAGTGGGAAACTCTTTCTAGTATGGCCAGGGCTATAAAGACTAAAAGAAAAGGTATTTAGGGATGGATTGGGGTGTGTATAAGTTTGTTAGAGGTGTTCAACTAAAACCTTGAGGAGGGCTGTTGATATGACATCTCCCATGACCAGGGGCTGCTTGGATGTGCTCACAGGAGGAACCTCTCCTCTGGTGTGGAAGGAACAGCCAAGGAAATTTCATGGGCAACTGCTTCAGCTTAGGACAGAATGAAGCTACAGTCTGGGGGCTTTGGAAGGAAAATAGTAATTTTTTTTTTTTTTCTGCGGTACCTCAGAAATATTTCGTAACCTCAAAAACAAAAGAAAGGCATTTCTAAAATAGAAAATAATTTGGACACCTTACATTATGTTTGGAATAAATTTTTGTTTACATAGTTTAACAGTGGAAAACCTTTAATGCTATTTGAAATACTTACAAGTTTGAATGATTTTTCATCAAGAATTCTGCTTTTTTTTTTTTTTTTCATAGTAGCTAATGTGGGGCTATGCTTTGGATTTGTGCTGAAAACAGTGTTGATAACAAAGGGATGTTTTAGCAATTGCTGAGCAGGGCTGACACACAGCCAAGGCTATTTCTGCTTCCCACTCCACCCCACCAGTGAGAAGGCTGGGGATGCACAAGAAGTTTGAGGGGACAAAGCTGGGACAGCTGACCCCAACTGGCCTAAGGGATATTCCGTACCCTGTGGCATCATGCTCAGCACATACCACTGGAGGAAGAAGGGTGGCACATTTGTAGGGGTGACATTTGTCTGCCCAAGCCACCATCATATGAGATGGAGCCCTGCTCTCCTGGAGATGGCTGAACGTCTGCTTGTCATTAGGGTGTGGTAAGTGAATTCCTTGTTTAGCTTGGCTTGGTGTGTGGCTTTTGCTCTACCTGTTAAATTGTCTTTACCCCAGCCTATGAGTTTTCTTACTGGTGCTCATTCAATTCTCTCCCCCTTCCCACTGAGGGCAGTGAGTGAGAGGCTGGGTGGGGCTTAGTTGCTGACTGGGACTAAACCACAACAACATTATGATGAAAGCTATTTTTAAAATTTTGTGCTTTACGTTTTTTCTTATAGAGAAGACAGGTTTAGCATGGGGGGGAAATGACAAAAATGTAAAGCAGTCTATACAAAAACCAGCCCAAAGCAAATGGCAAGAAAACCTTCTGCTCTGCAGCTAGGCTACTGAAATATAAAGCAAATCTCCAAAACTAGAACTTTGGTTTGGGGGTGTTTTAGTGACCTTCATAGATGAAAATGCTTGAAATGGGTCCAGTGTTTTATCATGAGTTACTTAGTACCAGAATAATCCATCCCTGTTCAGGTCCAGCATTGATATCCAGGGCTCTTCCCATACTAATCAGTTTTATGATCTTGTTGAGGGTCTGTCAAAGAAACAAAACCCCCAGCTGAGAGGGTGAGGAGGCAATGAAGTGTGAGAATAGCTGAGGCCAGACAGAGCATCCCACATGTCTGTTTCATTGGAGTAATGGAAAATACACACCCCAACAGTAGGAAAAGGATGAGTATCAATTACCTCCCCACCAATACTGTATTTGCAGATCTTGGGCTAGATGACTATGTTTCCTCTTCATATTTATGATTTTGAAAGGTAAAGTCTTCCTTGCCTTTATTTGATTGATAAGAGTTATACAATTCAAAATTGGGGCAAGACAGTGTTTTAAAATAATATCCCAGGGTAATGAAATGGGACAGTTTCATAGCCTGCAGTTAAACAGGAAAGCTTGTACACACACTCATACACATACAAAATCAATTCACATGCAGACACAATTAGTTAGTAACTATGATTTACTCTAGCTTTCTTTTTTCTGTGCATTGCCCAACTAAGGACATCCTTGCCTCTTTCAAAAATGAAACTCAGGTTTCATAGTCTTATAGATTCCAAAGCTGGAACATGAATTTTGCTTCTGTGCACAGGGCCCATTGAAATAACCATGACTCCTGAGGTCAACAACACCATCAGGCCCTGGGGTAACCCATTTGCCCATTTGGTCTCTGTTTTCTCTGGATATTTTTCTGTATCATTGTAACTCTACTTTCTCTGGATTTTTTTTTTTTTTTTTTTTTTTTTTTTTTTTAATCACTGGCAGTAGAAAAAAACTGTCTCTCTTGCTCTCAATGCCATGTGCAAAAAGTCAGATACACTAAATATTTTGGGTCTTGCAGCAGGAGCATCCTGTCTCTGGACTGGAGCCAGGAAGAGTATCTCTTATGGGGGATATAGGACAAAAGTAGCGCGTACATTCCTCTACTATATTGTTTTTGCTGCCTGACTTTTTGTTCCTGGACCATTTTACTCTGCAACCTACAGTTGCTTGACAGAGGGTCTATACAGAAAGCAGGTTGCAGGACTTCGCCATTGCTTTCTGAAACTACACAAAAGCCAAGAAAAATATTAATGAATTGTATTGTTGGCATATATGGTATTCATCTCATTGTCTGACACATTTCCACAGATGTTGGAAAATAGACATAAAATAAAATTAGCCTGGTTCTGATTATTAATCTGACATTACATCTTCAGATACATGAGAGTGCAAAAGTGCCTTGTTTGTGAAAAAGCACTCGGTACATACAAATTAGGAATAATCTAGAGTTTTTGTGATGTACAATGCTGCAGAAGCAGAAAAGCCTCAAGAGTTACTGTTTTTCTGGCAAATGCCATAGAAGCATGATTTCAGATCACTTCCTTGTGCCCTAAAATGCCCCCCCTGACATCATTGGTGGCACTCCCAGCTTCCCACTGCCCTTGTCCAAGGCTTCCATGGCGCATACAGCTGCACACATCCAGGCTGAGGCTCCGGCTTTATCATCACTTGAAATGCACACGCATTCCCTCTCAGCCCCAGCTGTAATATTTACACAACAGATTGGATTGGAATATTTGCAGGGAGCCTGTTATGCATACCTCTTCGGATAATTTTTGTGGAGAAACTTTTGTTTGCTGATTAGCTAGATAATAGCCTTCAGTTCGGTATTTTGGGGTGAGGTCATCCAGAGACTGAAAAGGTGGTGGAGAATGCACACACCTCCATGAGATGCCTACACAGTGGAATATTCCCTCTGCACTCTGAAGTGCCAAAGCAGAAGCCAGCTCCAGGGCAGGAGCTGTGTAACTGTGCTGGCACAGTACTGAGCTCGAGACAAAAGGTCCTGCTAAAGATGTTGTAAGGTAATGAATGCAGACCTTATCCTTTTAGATTTAAAACATAACTTTTTAAATAATACAAGCCAAAGAAGAAAGTGAAAATGATAGACTTGCCCTTCAGTCGTGTTGTAAATTTTATACACGACTGAACTTGGAGTGCTACTTGCAATTCCTTCTGTTTTTTGGCAGTTGTTTCTGGACTCTTAAAGGTCTGCTCCTAGTCTCAAATCTCCGATTTAATTGTTTGTAATTATAATTAGAATGTAAGATCCTCATCTTCCTGTTCCTGTGTTCATGAAGCCAGGAACACCTCTGATCACAGAAAATTCCTACAAAAAGATAATTATGTTTTTAAGGAAATGGATAAAGTAAAAACCTACTCCCAGGATGAAACCTTGTGCAGTCTTGAGTAAATGATAAATTGGGAGCTAATACCAGGGGAAATAATGTCAGATTTTAACAAGACTGGCGAAGAACAAGGAATTTAATACAGGAAGGCTACATGTAAAAATACCAAAAAAAAAAAGCCAACAAAACCTAAAATACTGTGTTTGAGGCAAGTGTCCTGATTTGTTGCCTGAAATTCACCCATGTGCAGAGGCACCTGTCCAAAGCCTCTACAAGATCTCTTATTTCCAAAGCTTATGCAACATACCAGCAGTGCCCAGCCTTTATGCATGTCTCTGGGAGAAAACTATGGAGGTTTGCAATTGCCTTTAGTGGCAGCAGAACTGTGACATTTTAAAAACACATATTACTTTTTTTCCCCCTACAAAATCTCTCTATAAAATGTACCAACTGATTCAAATAATCTTCTTTTTTCTGTCCTATCACAGGTCATGCAGGGGAACCATACTGAGAATCGTGTTTTCAGCACACAGAACACAGAAAATGAAAATATACTTAGGGTGCTTTCAGGGAATTTTTTTAGTCATCAGGCAGCTTTAGGTTATTTGATCAGCTACACCTGGATCTTGTCTTGATGCAAAAACTTAAACAAATATTTTTGTCAGCAGAGAAGATGCCGCCAGTAAAAA